TATTTTACAATTCTTAATTTGTTGCCCGCCCATTTTATGTATACAATTTTAATTCCTTCCATTATCTTCTTTCCGGCTCTCTTGTTTTACATTAAGTCCCTCTACCATCATCCAGATAATTTTCTTTCTTCTTCAAATCTTTTTTCCGTTTTTACTTCGGAATCCCATTTCGAGTTTTTCCTTTCTTTTCCTCACATCAATTCTCTCGGCTCTCCATTTCAATCGCTTTAGACGATACAATATCGCCAAGATTGGAAAATTAATTACCTGTTAGCGACAACAGATTTACTCCGCCATCTATTTCCTCCCCTCATCCCCAATTTCAGGGCTTCGTTCCCCATCGTCAAGCCATGGACAAAATTCAGTCTCGTGCCTTAAATCTTGCATCTGATATGCGACTAACCTGGACAACAGTATATAAACTGCTTTGTAAGCGAGTCAAATGACAGTCGATGCATAACGAGGCTGAACGGAAATTTATTAATATTTCTTTTAAAAGGCACCTGCCTCATCTAACAAAGCATAGGCGTGAAATAATCGCTGATCTTTTGACATAGTTACTTTTATTTCTTGACTGAGGTGTCCGATTATTTGAGAAGCGAAAACAAGGGGTTAACTTTCCTTCTGGTCAGAAATGATCTCTGAATGAGATGCAAGGGAAACAATTCAAAAGGATTGATTAAGATGCAAGAGAGGCAATGAAAGCATTTTAATTTGTTAGAAAATAAAAATTATATAAATGTTATTAAATCTGTTCCAAAAATATAGCTGTTGTTTCTCATTTAAGTCTCTTTAAAATTATAGTTTAAATCTGTTCCAAAAATATAGCCGTTGTTTCTCATTTAAGTCTCTTTAAAATTATAGTTTATCTCATTTTTTTTTCAACTTTCTTTAAATGATTATTTATTTTTAAACATCTCACCCCAAGCAAGGCGATAATTCCACTAAGATGCCAGGGATTTCTGAGAGTGAAAGAGAATTAGACGAAATTAGAAAGAACAATAAAACAACAGTATTTAGCAAAACAGAAAATAGAGATAGAAGTTGCAGAAGATATTTGAAGAACGTAGTTGGCAAACAAGGAAGAAATCGAAGGAAATTTCCAATGGAGACAAGGTGCGGAGGAAGAAACTATTAGAATAGAACATGCGGTTACATCTAGCTATTTCAACGGTAAAATGACGAGAACTAGGTGTCAATATCGTAGGACGCTTAATTCATGTGCCAGAGGCCAGACAGAGAAGATATCATTAGAATAATTTATCTGAAAATATTTAAATATTAACGTTGATAGCTGGCCACACTTATTCGAGGACACCCAACTACTATGGCGTCTAGGTAATCTCTATTGCTGACTCTTGCTCAGGCGCATTTTGTGTTTGTTCAACACACACAGAGCGCATCTGTGGCTTATACTATGTTGAGCAGACCTTAGTTACTGTTTCCTGTGAGAGAAATTATCTAGCGTGATCATCAGTCTGAACAAGGCCAACACACTCAATCCCTCGATCACGATGACCTGTTTCTTCGTGCTAGCACACCCATCGACAGACCCCCAAGGGTTCTGGTTAACCAATTCCACTTTCAATGGTTTTCACTCGTGACATAATTTTCAGGTACTTTCCAAAAGTGACGCACGTTGGGACCGTCCCCTCCATTTTATACTGCAACTATTTTGAGCAGACCTTAGTTAAAGTTCTGAACAAGGCCAGCACGCTCAAACCCTCGGTCACGATGACTTGTGACTTCGTGCTAACAGAGCCATCGACGGCTTCCAAGGGTTCCGTCTACCCAATTTCACTGACAATGGTTTTCACTTTCCAAAGATGCCGCACGTTGGATTCAACTTCCTGAGAAATGGACCGTGGTGAGATTCGACCCCGGGTCTCATGGGTAGAAAACGAACATTCTAACTAATCGTGCCCAATTTAAATAACCTTTTTTTTTTTTTTATTAAAATCTGATTCTAAAACATTACATTTTATCTCCTATTTTAAAATATAAATTTTAATTTTAATTTAAAAAAGAAAACAATTTAGAAGAAAACTATTTAATCTTTTTTCACTTAGATTACATTACATTGTATCTCCTATTTTAAAATTTAAATTTTTAAAAAATTATTTTAATCCAAAATATTTTATCTTCACTTAGAATTATCTCTTTATTTAAATCTATTTGTATATCTTTTTATTTTAAAATCTATTTATCTCTTTTTATTTAAATCTTTTTATCTCTTTTTATTTAAATATATTTTTATTTCTTTTTTATTTAAATCTCGTTTTATTTCTTTTTTTATTTAAATCTCGTTTTATTTCTTTTTTATTTAAATCTCGTTTTATTTCTTTTTATTTAAATCTCGTTTTATTTCTTTTTTTATTTAAATCTCGTTTTATCTCTTTTTATTTAAATCTCGTTTTATTTCTTTTATTTAAATCTCGTTTTATTTCTTTTTTTATTTAAATCTCGTTTTATTTCTTTTTTATTTAAATCTCGTTTTATT